TCATCACCATCATCATCATCATCATCATCATCACCATCATCATCCTCAGCACCATCATCGTCATCATCAGCATCATCATCATCAGCAGCAGCAGTACCATCATCATCAGCATCGTCGTCATCATCATCATCATCAGCATCATCACATCATCATCATCATCAGCACCATCAGCAGCAGCAGCAGCAGCAAACGCATCACAACCACCACCACCAGCATCATCGCGTCATCGCAGTCTCCTCCTCCTCCTCCTTTTCCTCCTCCTCCTCCCCCACTCCTCCTCCTCCTCCTCCTCCTCCTCCTCCTCCTCCTCCTCCTCCTCCTCCTCCTCCTCCTCCTCCTCTCCTCCTCCTCCTCCCCTCCTCCTCCTCCTCCTCCTCCTCCTCCTCCTCCTCCCCCTCCGTCCTCCTCCCTCTCCTTCCTTCCTCCTCCTTCCTGCTTCCTGCCTCCTTCCTCCCTCCCTCCTTCCTCCCTCCTTCCTTCCTCCCTCCCTCCCCATCCCCCATTCCTTCCTCCCTCATTCCTCCCTCCCTCCATGCTCCCTCCATTCTCCCTCCCTCCCTCCCTCCCTCCGTCGCTCCTCCCTCCCTCCCTCGATCCTTCCTCCCTCCCTCCTTCCCCCCCCTCGCTCCTCCCTCCCTCGCTCCGCCCTCCTCCGATGCCGTCCGTCCTCCCTCCTCCTCTCCTCCGCCCTCCCTCCCCCCCTAAGGCACGACGTTTCGGCGCTATTGGGGGTTAGCCAATAATAGGAGGCCGGAGGACGGATTCAGCTTGTGCCTGCTTCCTCTTTGTACACGTGTGCCCTTGGTTTGGGCCATTTGGCCCGCGCTTTGCTGAGCGCCGCAGATTTGTTCTGCCTTCTGGGCTGCCACATCTCCTCCCTCCGATGCCCTCCTCCCTCCTCCCTCCCTCCTCAGATGCCGGCCGGGCCGCCGGGGCCTGCCCGTGCACGGCGGCCTGCACCAGCGCGGGGGCTGGGCCGTGGAGGCTGCCCAGCGCCTGCAGCAGCTGCTGCTCCGGCCTCGGCCCGCCGCCCGGGGGGTTCTCCTCCTCCTCCTCCTCCTCCTCCTCCTCCTCCTCCTCCTCCTCCTCCTCCCCTGCCTGGCCGCGGCGAGCCTCGGCCACGTGGGAGCGGCGAGCCTCGGCCCCCGCGGGCCCCCCCCCCCCCCCCCCCCCCAGCGGGACGATCGGCGAACTGGGCAAGAGTGCCGGGTACGATCGTCGGCACCGGCTGTCTCGGAGTCGTTCTGATGTGATTTGGCCCTGGGCGGAACAGCGCGCACTGAGGTTCAGTGCCTGCAGTGGCGCTTCACTCTCTTCTCCTCCTCCTCCTCCTCCTCCCCTCCTCCTCCTCTCCTCCTCCCTCCTCCTCCTCCTCCTCCTCCTCCTCCTCCTCCTCCTCCTCCTCTTCCTTCTCCTCCTTCTCCTCCTCCTCCTCCTCCTCATCCTTCTCCTCCTCCTCATCATCATCACCATGCTCACCCTCATCCTGAACATACTATACACATGCGAACGCATCACCATCATCATCATTGTCATCATCATTGTCATCATCATCATCATCATCATCATCATCATCATCATCATCATCGTCATCATCACCGTCATCATCATCTTCATCATCATCAGCATAAACAAAATCATCATCAGCAGCAACACCACCATCATATTCATCGTCACCATCATCATCATGATACTAATACTAATCAGCATCATCATCAAAAACAACATCAACCTCATCATCATCAGTATCATCATCAGCATCAGCATCAGCATCATCATCATCATCATCGCCACCATCCATCGACTCCACATCCCTCCTCATCCTCATCAGCATCATCATCCTCATCCGCATCATCACAATCACCACAATCATCATCATCAGCATCACCATCACGATCACCATCACAATAACAACCACAATCAAATCCACAATCACAACTACCAACATCATCATCGTCAGTAGTATCATCATCGCCAGTAGTATCATCATCGCCACCATCAACAGGAAAAGCAACACCATCTTCACACTGATGATGATGATGATGATGATGATGATGATGATGATGATAATCGTCATCATCGCCACACTCATAATGATAACCACACTCATCATCACATCACCAGCATCATCATCACCGCCATCATCATCCTCATCATCTTCATCCTCATCATCATCACCATCATAATCACCACCACCACCACCACCACCACCATCATCATCATCATCATCATCATCATCATCATCATCATCATCATCATCATCATCCTGGTCTACACTAAGAACTGAGCGTGCTTGTTGTTGTTTTTTGTTTTGGATCTTGACAAGGGAAAACCGCTGAAACAACGCGATGTGATTGTAGTGCTTAGTGTTTTTAAGCTCGTTGTTGTGCGCCTTTAGGACCGTCGCTGAGGATCATTATTGTTTCAGCGTTTGTTGTTTTCTTGTCGAGTGCTGCTCCTTGTCTCCCCTGCCGTCTTCGCTTCCGCTCTTCTGTTCCTG